TTTTTTTGATAATTCATGGAGCAATATTAGGCATGTTCTTGTATTAACAACTACGCATGTATAAGTTGTTGACTTTACTGCTGTTAACAAACATGGACTGTCAGGTTTACATTAAAAGAAAACAAAATAAAGTCCTACTTAAGTATTGTCAATATTCATCCAACAATGTCTTAATTTGAAGTGCTTTTTCATTAAATTTCACAGCTGTTTTCATACTGTTTAGAAGACAGATAATGTTTGTCAGGAATGTAGATTGTTAATATCTAAATGATATTATAAATGACTTTTGGTATGGTGTAAGGTCATCGTATTGGGTGTGTATATGGTGGAAGGTCACATTGTTGGATGTGTGTAAGGTCACATTTGCTTGTTATATATATGGTGTAAGATCACATTTGCCGGTTATATATATGGTGTAAGGCCACATTTTCTGGGTATGTATATGGTGTAAGGTCACTGTATTGGGTGTGTATATTGTGTAAAGTCACATTTGCTGTGTATATATGGTGTAAGGTCACATCTGCTGGGGTATGTTGTAAGATCACAAATCTTGGATGTATATGGTAGAAGGACATAGCTCTCATATTGTAAGGACATCATATGCCCAGGTATGGTAAGTTGGGTTCTGGGTAGTGCTGATGGTACAGATGGGCTGAACTGTTGTGGTTGTACATAGCTACTCACTCATCCTCCATTACTGTACCAGTCTGATGGAAAAGTCAGCAAACAAAATCAATAAGCCTGAATTCATCTATCAGGATATGACAGCCTGGTGGGGTCCTGTGATTGGTGGATTGCTCCCCTAGGTAGGCCCCACAGGAAAAGGTGACTGTTTGGTCTCACAAGCAGGTAGCTCCACCTTGATACAAAGGTTGATGTGATGCTGGCGTTTTATTTGAGGTTCAACATAGGGTATTGTTTGCTATGAAGTCGTTCATAATAAATATTCTCTAAAATTAAAAGTACTTTTATTGTTTGTTTTTTTTATTTTAAGAAATATATCTTCAATATATAGATATTCTTTAATTGATTATTCCAAAAACTGACTTTTTAACACTGCTGGTAAATACATGTGATATCATTTAGTTTTATTTTGTCATAAACATATTATCCATATTTGGTGACATTATATATTTCATTAATGTAAATTAGCTAGACAGTGTGAACACATTTACTAATGCCTATATTTCCCTAGTTATGTTGGAATGTTTAACTAATTAGTGATAACCAGAACATCACAACCAAATGTTCCTCATAACCCTACTGAACAGGATGTTACAGTCAGGTATTAAAATCTTAGGATCAATAGATGAATTACCCCTGTGGGGTGCCTCTTTGAAATGCTAAGAGCTTTGGATAGCACAGCTGTTGGTTACAGCTACTAGACTTTGTTGGGTGCTTGGTTTGTGATTGGTGAAATTGATTATGTTGATGGGCTGGCCTAAGGAAGGTGAAGCCAGCCCTAATCTGCCAGTTAGGGGTAGATCTTACCTGGGCCCTCCCAATACAAATAAGAGTTTATTTTAAATACCTGTGATGATCAAGGTGTAACCTCAATATTAGCATTGACTTGGTAACAGTAACTAGCTTGATAGGGATACATGGCTGTGTTTACCTCTGATGAGGAATCTGTAAAGTGACCTTATATATATATATATTATCAAGATGCTGAAGGAATTCTGCATTTTCCCTTTTGGTAAGTTTACATTTGTATATATATAATTACAAGTAATGTAGGTGTGTTGTTTATCAATTCTATTTTTTTTATCATGTTATTGTTTTTGTTTTTTCTTTATATTTTCTTTAATTTTGGTAACCTCTGTGTGGTTTTTTTTTTAGACAGAGGTAAATCAGAAGTTTAAATATGATTTTTAAGGATTTTCGGGGAGGGGGATGTAATTTCATGTTCTTAAATCAGTCGAATATTTGAAACTTCTTACAGTTCTTTGAATCAATACTGTACACAGTTTAAGTTAATAAGGAATTTGCTATCTCCTCTAAGGAAATTTTATGACAGGAATGGACGAAGTGATGGGATGATTTTGTTTCTTCATTTATATTGTTTTGTGAAAATAGCATCAAAATATGTCCAAAACCATTATACTGTTTGCTATAAATTAAAAGAAAATTATGTTGCCTGTGTAAGTTCAGCAGCAAATCTGTTCTTAAAGTTTGTTGATCGGGCGTGTTTGTAATTACCTGTGTGGACAGGTGAGAAAGGACACAATGGTAGCCAGGTGGGCTACTGTTGTCCCCCCATCCTTTACAGTTAAACACACACCCTTTTAAGTGTATGTAAATGACCAAGAACTTCTTAGGATCAGCTTTGCATCTCCTCGATCACTGTCTAGTCATACAAAATAGGTAGCATCTTCACAATGGTTTTACTGTTAGCCACGCGCGGGTACAGCTTTTTAGGATAGAGAAATTAATTTAAAAACATCTTGAAGTTTGTGAACATTGGCACCAGGTAACATCTAATTACAGGTACACAACACCTTTTAGCCATTTACAACAATATTCAGTTATGTAAATGAGGTTTTATAATGCACAGAATAGATACATTGTTATCTTGTTAACATCGTTGAAAATACTTTGAGAAACATATAAAGAAATATGTTAATCATTTTTAGACAGTACCTGTTCGAACAGATGGTATATTTTTCAGCACTGATAACCAAGTTTTTGTAAGTCTAACACACCTGAGTATGTATTTGTACATAACTGTATTATCAATGTTGCACAGTACACTTTAACATCTCAATGATATAAGTTTTACAGTTATGCAGTATATAACAGTTAAAATGCTAAAACATGATGGATGAAAGTGATATAGAAATACAAGTAATAGAAATTGATTGGAATGGGATAATATGAATCATAAACCAATGGTTGGATATCTTAATAGAATTAAATTTTTAACCTCCTTGATGGAGGGTATATATATTAATCACAGGTGTGTAGATTTTCTAGGTAATTATACAGGTACAGCTTGAGATGGCATATATGAGATACATGTATGATTTGTTGAGACACACCTTCAGGTATCCATTAGATGGATCAGCTTGGAACATCTGTTCGGCTTTGTGACTGAAAGAGATGTCTAACTCAACACAATATAATGGAGAAATTCAAAACCATTTTAACAATTTACCTGGTTGTGATGATTCTTTTTTTTTTGCCCTTTTTTTTTTTTTTTGTTGGTCCCTCTTTTCCTTGAGTGCTGTGAGCACTTTTAAAATATTCAAAAAATTGTGATAAGTAAATTTTTCACATACTTCCTTATTTGGTTAAGTTTGTAATGACATGGCCTTGTTTGGTGATCCTCGTTTAGGTAAGAAGCTGTATGAAGTTAAAATTACAGGATTATTCAAGTCGCTTACTGATTTTTTTTCTTACCATGCATTATATGTTTATTAACAAAGAACTAAAAGATTGAACAATTACAGAACTTGATGTTCAAACTTTGTTTTTTTTTAAATTTCTAAACAAGCCTTCTGCTTATATTCATCACTTTTGTCAGCTGGGATGTCTAAGTAACAGACAAGTACATTCCAACTAAGTCACCTGACCATTCAATACCCTTTACATCATTTTACCATTAAATAATGCAGATTGTAAGTGTTTAGAATATAGCAGTCAACTATCACAGGTTGTCAGTGTAAAGGATTTGACCATCAATAATTACAGGTTGGCAGTGTAAAGGATTTGACCATCAATAATTACAGGTTGTCAGTGTAAAGGATTTGACCATCATCAAGTACAGGTTGTCATTGTAAAGGATTTTACCACCAATAGTATAGGTTGTCAGTGTAAAGGATTTTACCACCAATAGTACGGGTTGACAGTCACCTAGTTCAGTAGTATGTGTAAATAACTTTGCAGTCATCTAGTATAGATTGTCAAATTTGGCAGTAAATGGACACACTCAAATCCCTATTGTTTTGGCCTGTACTGATTGCCATGGCAATGATTCATGATAACTCTATCAGATAGGTAGGGAAAATAATGGCTTCATGAGTAATGTAATGAGAGATATTTTCTGCTATTTTTATGACTGCATTATTCATATTAAACTCAAATGATAACATATCCTTAAATGTTTAGACCACTTTCTACTCACAAAACCAATTTAATTATCTGGCGATAAAAAACCAACGCTTATTACCATGGAACTCAGGTGGAAATACAAGAGGGGCTAAATATGGCAAGTTCACAGAAAATGACATGAAAAGAATGAAAATCGGCTCACATAATTTGCTCAAATGAGTAGCCATTAAATGCCAGATTGTACGGGCAAATTGATGTTTTGTGTGCGGAATGTAACAATATTAGTGATACTACCTTTGGCATTTATGACGGCGTACGTGCATATGTTAATAGCGTAAAGGGTACTCAGTTGACATCCCCTCATGAATATCTAAGGGGGTATTTAGTAGTACCAGTGACAGGGGAATGATATTATCAATGGATACCTCACGTGACTGCTTATTAACAGTATCAATTGTTACCTCATGACTAGGATGATTTATCCCAGCACGAACCTTTAAACCATCACCTGATCACTGGACATAATGCCAATACAACCTGGTTTCATTTCAAATTAGTTAATCAATTAAGAACAGCATTATTATGTATTTTTCATTAAACTTCTCCATTGCACTAATTGTTCATTCGCTTTGACCTGAATAAAATATTAAATATTCAGAAGAAAATTTGTTTGAGTGTAACAGTTGACATGTGATTTGATTGCCCTACTAGGTTTTGCATTTCAGCAACTAAATAAAACAGTAAGAATTTAAGGATCTTTAGGTTCAATATCCACTAAGTACAGTAAACAAAAGATCACCTTCCTTTTTCTAGCTTTTAAATCAATACTTTGTTGGTACTTTATTTTCTTAATAAAAAGTACAATTGGAAAATTTCATTTGAAAAAATGAAACCTCAAGGGGAATGAAATTGAAGATGAATGTCTAATAGAATTTTTTTTGTGTTTGCAGTCGAGAATGATGATGTTGACACAAGCATAAATAAGAAAAAGAGGGAAGTCGAGACAGAAACAGAAGTCGAGAAACAAGAAAATAGTATCAATGACAGCAATGGCCATGACAACAGTGCAATCAGTGACCATGATGATGACAAATCTACCACCAACCTTAGCAACCATGACATGGAGACAGATGTGGAAAAGGGTAAGTATTTATCTGACCAGTAATGGTAGGATATAACATGGTGTAATGTAGAATGCACTGAATTAATAAACTGACAAAATTTGAAGTTTATCTTATTGTTTAAGAACAACCATCAAGAAAATCTGTCGTTATCAGTCGGCTGTGAAAATGAAAGTTAACAACTAACATGAATTTGAGTAACAGATGAAAGTTATGAACAATGTTTCACTTAATTATATGATTGTCTTGTTAAGATTTTTTTCCATTAATTTAAATAATTAATTTCACCTTCCAGACAAGCTGAAAGACATGGTTATACATGATCTACCAGATAAGGTTATGATTCCTGAACCAATTACTGCAGTGAAAGAGAATGTTGAAGAGGTTGTGGAGAAGCCAGTTGTTCATCCTGAACCTGTGAAGGTTGCAGATCTGCCCTGCAAGCCCCCAGTATGTGTTGCCTTGTCCACAGGATGTGTTACAGAGGAGGAAAAGATCCAGGAATACTTGAATCGTAGTGACACTGCTGTCATTTACCCAGAACCGGTGTCTGATCGTGAAGGCGAAGAGGAGGAAGATGATGATAACAGCAGCAAGAACGAACCAGATACTGGTAAGTTACGGTCTCCAAGCAATCCTGACTCATATACTGGTTGTTGTTTCCCAAATGTTAAAGTGGACTACAGGTTTGGTCCTACACTGGTACTACCAGAGGGGGCTACAGGTTTGGTCCTACACTGGTACTACCAGAGAGGGCTATAGGTTTGGTCCTACACTGGTACTACCAGAGAGGGCTATAGGTTTGGTCCTACACTGGTACTACCAGAGAGGGCTATAGGTTTGGTCCCTCTCATTGGTTCTACCAGAGAGGACTATAGGTTTGGTCCTACACTGGTACTACCAGAGGGGGCTATAGGTTTTGTCCCTCTCATTGGTTCTACCAGAGAGGACTATAGGTTTGGTCCTACACTGGTACTACCAGAGAAGGCTATAGGTTTGGTCCCTCTCATTGGTTCTACCAGAGAGGACTATAGGTTTGGTCCCTCTCATTGGTTCTACCAGAGAGGACTATAGGTTTGGTCCCTCTCATTGGTTCTACCAGAGAGGACTATAGGTTTGGTCCCTCTCATTGGTTCTACCAGAGAAGGCTATAGGTTTGGTCCCTCTCATTGATTCTACCAGAGAAGGCTATAGGTTTGGTCCCTCTCATTGATTCTACCAGAGAGGACTATAGGTTTGGTCCCTCTCATTGGTTCTACCAGAGAGGACTATAGGTTTGGTCCCTCTCATTTGTTCTACCAGAGGGGGCTAAAAGTTTGAGGCTATAGGTTTTGGCCTTTGTGTCTCTTTTTTTCAAATATGCTGTGTCATAAAACTTTCAAATTTTGTATGATTTTGAATATATCTAGGAATGGCATACTGAAATGATATTTCATGCCCAACTTTTTTAACCTTTATTTTGCTATTCTTCATATAGTCTTGGGCTTGTGTTACATGCAATTACCAGATTTTGTACTCAAGTTCATTTCCAGAACTTGATCTCTTTTGAATCTTTTTATATGCATGTACTTATTGGTCTTCAGTCCTTAACCACACAAAAATGATTGATTTTGATGCAATAGAGGAGGCTGAGGAGAAGGGGGATTGGATTTAAGCCATTGGGCCTGTTTTGAATTAGTTTTCTGTCAAAATCCATGTTACCAAATTACTTTGAAAAAAAGTCTTTTGTTGGACTGTTCAAAAGAAAAAGTGGAGAGTAAAATTCGAACGAATGTAAAATGTATTCATGTAATGTATTGCTTCTCCTTTCACAGATTCCTTGATGCTTCCTGGTGAGGAGGTAATTTTAAAGTGCATCCACTGTGAACAGAGCTTCATCCGTGCCACACTGCTTCGTGACCATATGAAGATGCTCCACCCAGACAAGCCTATCAAATACTTGTGTCCCAAGTGTGATGAAACATTCCTTCTGAAGTCTCAACTAGATAAGCATCTAGCCCTCCACTCACCAACATCCCAGTCCTGTAAGATCTGCAACAAGACTTTCGCCAATGTATACCGCCTCCAGCGTCACATGATCAGCCATGATGAAAGCACAGATCTACGCAAGTTTAAATGTCCTGAATGTGGAAAGGCTTTCAAGTTTAAACATCACCTTAAGGAGCATGTCCGTATCCACAGTGGTGAGAAACCATTCCAGTGTCCAAACTGCGGTAAACGATTCAGCCATTCAGGATCTTACAGCAGTCACATGACTTCCAAAAAGTGCTGGGTAATGAACCAGAACAAGCCAAGATCGCTGGACCAGAACAGTAATACTGAGTCTCCAAGCGTGTCCTATTCCCCTATCCGTACTCCAGTCACAGCCATTGGTATGGAAACCATGATCCAGAGTCTTACTGCTGGCAAGTTCTCTCCAGCGTTTCTGCACTTCGACCCGACAAAGGGTGGCCTTCCATACTACACTCCTCCCAGTGGATACCTCCCAATGGCATACACAGTAAGGCATGGAAACCCAATTAAGCCTATCATGACCCCGTTGATCCATCATCAGAAACCATTGGAGTGTCAACCTTCCTCAGTTCCCAGCACCAGTCCCTCAGCACCGATGCCATTGTCTCAGATCTCTCCAGATGTCAACTCTAACACTCAACTCATCAGCAAGCAGGCCAGTCTGCAGGTGGACGGAAGCATTCCTATCCCAGCCTCTGTAGCTGCCACTATTGCTGCCACCATTGCGGCATCTGTTGCAGAAACTCCCACTACTCCTACTGCCATTGCCACCCAGGATGCTGCTGCTGCTGCTTCAGAAAAACCGTTGTCACCTCCACCATGCAACATCAAGACTGAGAAATTGACAGACTCTGAAGTGGAAAGTAGTGAGAAGCCTGAAGAGATGCCAGATGCTTCAATGATAAAGCAGGAGCACCAGAATGGCGAAGGCACTCCATGTCGATTCTGTGGAGACAGCTTCAACAGTCCTGTGGACCAGCATCAGCATGAACGGTACCTCTGTAAGCTAAATAAGGATATCATCCATCGTATACCTAGTGGAGAGAGCGCCAGAAACTCACCTTGCAGCACCATGTCAGAGAGTGGTAGTCATCGGGATACACCCAATGGAAGTATCAGTGCAGAGGCCGAGACTGACAATGAGGAGATTGAAGAGATATACAAGACAGAGAAAAACTCACCAATGGAAAGCAAGAAATTTCGTATGAGATCTCTTATTAGTGATGATCAGCTGAAGGTGCTTAAGTCTCACTACCAGGTCAACCCTCGCCCCAGGAAGTATGAACTCATCCGCATCGGAAATGAGATAGGACTCCCAAAGCGTGTTGTACAAGTTTGGTTCCAGAACCAGCGAGCCCGGGATCGCAGAAGAGGCATGAATGTTCCATATTTCCCATCCATGGCCAGGTTTAAGCGACAAGAGAGTCCCTCAGTCCAGTGGAAGGAGACTGCACCCAAAACATCCACTCCAAACTACATTGCAGTAGTACCAACACCCTATGCTCATGGAGTCAAGGTCAATGGCAAAGTCACACCTCCAAAACGAACACCAACGAGTGAGGAGCAGCCACTGGATCTAAGTGTGAAGATGAGTAAGCCACCAGATGCTCATTCCGGTAGTCGATCATCCAGTGCCACACCACCTAGTAGCCGCTCAGGGGAGACAACCAACCGTCCAGGGGACCAAGTTTTAAATCTGAGTACTCGAGCAGACGATGCCAGCAAGACAAGTGTGGAAGGAAGTCTTCAGAACTCTGCCATCTACAAGTATATGCAGCAGGAGGGTTTGTTTGCTGCACACAGACATCTCCTTACAAACGCCATACTGACATCGTCTCCTAGTCTAATTCGTCCACTTTCTACACCTACCATTCCAAAGAGAGAGAACTCTGTCACACCAACTCCATCCATCTCATCGCTAAGCGACATTGCCAGAAGCCACTGTGAACGTGCCCGATCAACACCCAGTGACAAATTTGACATTTCATCTGATGGACACAACCGTGACTTGGAAAATGGCCGAGATGTGGATCACAGACTTGTAATAGATGAGCAATCAGACATGTCTGATGACGACAGTAGCCACAGTTATGAGTGCAGCACTGCAATGGCCGATGCAACGTGTAACCTTTCGACCTTGGCTGAAGTCAGCCTCGCAGATCACCACAACATCACCATGACTGCTGAAGGCGAGATCAAGGTCAAAAGGTTACGCAAGAAGTCGTGGCGACAGGTACACAGCTATGTCTGTATCAGTGTTTTTCTTGCCTTTTTACCCCGTAGTTAGTTACAATGGGCTGTGTTGTGTGGAAATTCAATATTACTTTTATCAATGAATCATGCAAAACACAAACCAGGTCTTCAGACAGTTTTGTTCAATCAATCAGGCACATGGCAAGGTCTTGATAAAGTATTTCTTTTTAAAATATAACTGAATATAATTCTGGACATTCATACAAGTTAAATAGAAAAAGGTTTAAATCATACTTATTAGATGTTGACATCTGCCTCTGTCTGAATATCTGTGGTAGGGGTTGGGCGGGTAACACTGTCCTTTTCTTTTCCCAAATTTTTGAAATTCTTCTTCGGGGAAGATATTGGCTTTTGATTGATTTTGAGTAGACTATTATTTTGATGAACAGATGAATATCATTTGAGAATTATACTGTGTAAGCAGCATCTATCTTTACTTCTTATTTTCCTCTGATATCTTGAAACTCTCAAAATAATTTATCTTATCTATAATGTAATTTTCTTTGCCATTATCAAACAACACACAACTCTCTTGTGCAAGTTGGCATATATTAATACTTTATGATTTCTTTTTCTTTCAATTTTTCATCCTTTTTTGTCTTTCTTTTCCAGAACACATTTCTCTACATTTCATTTTCATCACTATTTCATTCTGTTTGACACCTCTCCTGTTGGTTTCATCAAATTTCTTATCAGTTTTTGATAATTTTTATTTTTGCCTAACGTCTATTGAACCTGCTGCTTTGCAATAGAATGATTTTAATGGTGTTTTATCCTGAACCCTCTTCACCTTTTGCATTACCCCTCACGTTTTCCACACGACATTAGCGGAGAAAATCAGACCATTTTACAGTGGGTTGGGGGTGGGATGTGTTAGAAATATACTAACAAACTTAAAAATCATTCAAAATTTCTTAATTGTTATCTAATCTTTATGTATTTTTTTAACTACTTTTTTAGGGCATAATAAAGAATAGGTTAGAATTGACATTCAAAATTTGTAAACAAGAATTGTGAAAGAAAATACTAAATTTGACATTCAAAATTTGTAAACAAGAATTGTGGAAGAAAATTCTGGGAAATTGTTCTAAATTTGAATGATTTTGTAATTAAACTGGTCTGATAGTCTCACTGCATGCAAAAATTACCTAAAAGTTTCACTAAAGAATTTACTGATTTCATTAATAATTATCATTTAGAAAATAATATCATTTGTATGTATAATTTTAATCTACACATATAGAACTTCATCTTTGTATTCATATAATAACAAGTATATATCACGATTTATTCAAGTAGAGTTATCCCCCCTTGGATATTTATGAGTGAAATGCGGTTTTTTTTCTTCAATCAATGATGTTATCCTTGTATATCAGTGTTTCTGTGCAAATTTACCATTGATAAGAATGTTTTACAATAAAGTATTGCACATTATGGTATTTTGCATGATAAAAATGATTCAAAGCAAACCTCCTTCACCAGAAATGACATCAGGTATTTTGTTTACTGATTGTCAATATTGCTTTTCTAAAAATTGAAACACATTTCAATATATATATATATGTTTATATAATGTCATTATTTTGATCTTTCTTTTTTTCCCGTTGGAAAAAAGTCTAACTGAAAAAATGTTAATATGAACAAAGTGTAAATTGAGTAAACTGTAAATTAATATTGAGTGTTGGAGATTTGCATTGGTTGCTATGAAGTCTTATTTTGTGTGAATACCATTGTTCACCTAACACACACCCAGCCTATGATTTAGTTCTAATTCTTAAACAATATATTTATATGAGAGACTACCAAGTATCACCAGACTCCAAAACCTCACATGATAAAGACACTTAGAAATTCTCTCTTTCAATACATTTTCCTCACTTTTTCTTCATCTATTCTATATGAGATTTTTACATTCACCAAAGTCTAATTCAAGTTTATTTGAAAAACAAGATTTTAAGTTAGACAGCTTATAAGATAGTACAAAAGAAACACAACATACCTTTTAATTGAAATATGGAATTGCTGAAGTAAAACTGTGTCATAGAAAGCTGTTTTATCTTGCTAGGACTTGTCAGTAAAGGACAGAAAGCTGTTTTGTCCTGCTAGGACTTGTCAGTAAAGGATAGTTTGATTTGATACTTGTTCAATCTTATCTCATACACATTCTACTTAAGTTTAGTAAAAAGTAAATTATCAAAAAATGATTCTCTTACCTGAAACCACTAAAGCATCTGTTGTGGGTCACGTATAAATTCATTAACACAAACCATAAGAAACACCTTGATATAAGAATAGGTCTGATTTGCTTTAGATTCTGGTGGATTTATTTCACAGAAATTTCGAAAGTAGACTAACAATTGTTTGTCATGGTTGATCGTTGTAGTCACAGTGATATGTCTCAGTTTATATATAGAACACAGCACGTATAGTATATTGCGACAATTTCTGTGACGCATAGTCATTTTCACTGTGGTTACCTTCCCTTTGTTATCATTCACTGAAATAAGACTGTTACTCAGGATAGATAGAAAGTGATTTCAAATAACTTGAATTGCATTGATTTTAGTTTGATGTTTATTTTGTATGGAGCATTGAATGTTTTTGTTGATTTGTTTTGTTGTGAAGTTAAGCATTTTTTGTTGGGTTTGAAACTGTTTTGAATTAACATACTTCGTTTGAATCTAATACATTATTTTTAAAGGCATATAGACTAGAAGATACAGGACAGAGATCTTTATGTTAAGTGCAGTTTTAGTATTATTCTGATTTTGTGAATATAAAACTTTAAAACTTAATGATCATGGTAAGAAAGGTATAGATTTGATTTTTGGTGATTTGTCTTAAAGGAAGCAGTCCAATGAATTTACAATATCTACTTTAAGCACCAATTATTTTGATAAAGAAAAATGAGTTTGTTGAGATAGAAAATGTACACCATATTTAGCTGTTGGGCTTGGTACCAATATAGAAAGTACAGTCATATCTTAATAATTTGTGTTAATGATACCAATACAGTCTTCATCATTAGATATTTTTTTATCCAAAGATGTTTAATTTATTTTTATGAGGGGATAGTGTGTCTTCGTCATTTGAGTTGAAAGTAGTTCAATTAATGAAAAGTACCATATTTATCTAACAGTAGGATCATGCCTGGTAAAAATGAATTTTGAAATCATTTTTACATCATTGTCCTGTAACAAGCACATTCCTGATTCATAGTAAAACAATATGTCTGACCTTGACATATTGGGGGATAATTAAGGTCATACTTTGTATGTGCTCTTTTTTCATGGAGAGGTAAAAAAAAAAAAAAAATTTCAACACACCCTTCAAACATCACTTATTTCTTCATCACACACATTATCAGAACAAATGTGCAGTTATTGTAATACACAGATTCCAACTGTCGGTTTTTTCCGCTATAATCAGAGAAGTACAGTGTACAAGAACAGATTTATTTAGATGGAGATTACAAAATATACAAAAACTTCAACACAATGAACTGATGGTATCTTCATATGAATAATGACTTCATAAATAACCTTTCATTTATTTTTGATATTTTAGTTTTGTTTTGTCAAAGTGCTTCCCACTAACCTGCTGTGTTGTTTTGTACAGATGGAGGCAGAAGAAGCTCAGTTAGAGCTTGATGAATCCTTATTGGACGAAGATCACCCTTTCCGCAAAAAACGTAGATCTTGGAAAAATCATCGCATGGATTCAGAGGAGGGACTTTATGCTTGTGATCAATGCAAGAAGATGTTCAGCAAGCAGAGTTCTCTTGCCCGCCACAAGTATGAACATTCAGGTAGGCATTCTACTCAGCTAATGAGGGAGGAACATGAAGCTTGGTCTATAAAAGCAAAAGGCTTATGCTCTTTTTTAAAGAAAATTCGAAGAAGAGCTGGGTATTAGTTTAGGCAGCATGGTAATATATTTTGCTATTTAAACAAAAGAAATAGTGATTTTTGAAATTTTTTTTACCTTTTACAGTACTTGAAGAGGCTTGACTTAACATGTTACAATTATGTTAAATTTGATTCAGCTATTGATGTTCTTTCAACATGAATATGAAGTTAACATCATCGTTCAGCTGCTTTGTCCTTCTAGGTCAGTCAGAGCAAATTGTTTTGGATATGCATAATTTAAAAACTGTCTGATAGTTAAAAATTATGATTTGATAAAATTCCTTTCAACAGGAGCACGACCATTTTCCTGTGAGCTTTGTGGAAAAGCCTTCAAGCACAAGCATCACCTGACCGAGCACCGACGCCTACACAGTGGGGAGAAACCTTTCCAGTGTAAAAAGTGTGGCAAGCGTTTCAGCCACTCTGGGTCATACAGCCAGCATATGAACCATCGTTACAAATACTGCAAGCCAATGAGAGGCGAGGAAGGCCATGATGACCACGAAAGCCATGATGGACATGAAATGATGGACCTTCATGATGGATCCTCATCACCATAGAGAAACCAGTTGTGCATACTGTTACAAAATGTCTCCTGGAGGTTGACCAATCAACTGTCATCTTGCACAAAGGGAGTTTTCTGTCTCTGCAAACACAATATGTGATGGATGCTGATTGGTTCATATCTATATTTATTGACCAATCAATGCGACACTAACAATAGATATACCTGAGTGTAATATCACTGTAAATGAATGCTGAATTATTGACCAATCTCAAGTCCTCTTTTTTCAAGAGTGCAGCTGCTGTCTCATTCATTGATAATATGAATATTCATTAAAACTTGATTCCAGTATTTTTGTGTGCTTCATAAGTGGAAACAAATTGATACTTAAATGGATAATATCCCAAATCATTCCTGTCATATAAAAAGTGTTGTCATATGTTCTGTTTGGTGTTGATTACTTAATATGTCATAGGTCACAATGCTTCATTCTCACATGTCAGCCATTTTGAAATTTGTATGACAGGTATTTGATTTAGGATAGAAAATATTGTCAAAGCTATTCAACTCACATCTAGTGCTGTATTTACTATCTGTTGTCAAGGTAACGAGTATATGATAATGCTTTCTCTGTAAATATCTCTCTTTTATTGTGTTCAATTCTGGGGTAATTTTGATTAGTGCTTAGACTGATGTTTTTGGTTAGCTTGATAAACCAAATGGAGATTTTGATATTCAATGTCCAGATTTTTAATTAACAGCAAAATTTGTCATTCAATTTTTCATTGGCTGATATTTTGAACTGAGATATGAGATTGTGATACTGACTTTTTGTGTATTCAGTTATGGCTACAATTGAAAGCATCATTTTTTTCATTTTATTTTTGTATCTCATTACAAATACCCAGTTATTGTATATCACTGAATATCATGGATTTGCTATTAGAAATTTTGCTTTTGTAAAACACTAGCTTTAGAAGAGTAAACTTAATCCATGATGTGGAAGGCTACTGTTGACTTAAATAGCAACTTAAAGGTGTTAACTCTTGCAAAGTACCTTTTCAGTTTGTGGAATATACTTCTTTTGTTATTTCTCAGCAAGTCTTATGTATCCTAAATATGTTACATACAGTGTTGTAGTTAGCTTGTAATATGTAAACATTGTAATGTTTGTTTGTGACTAAGGGACCACTAATATGTTAATGATACTCCTTATGTTGTGAATGAATGGGATGAACGGCTATGTATAGAAAAGAAATCTCTGATTTGGTATTTTGGTAAGAAAAATAAACCAATAGCCAATCAGTACCTGATGCTTAATACTCAATTAAGTAATAGAAATCGTTCTTATATACTTGTATTGATTGACATCCAATCGTTAGTAGATTTGTTGCTGATCAAATCACATTCATTTTTTTCTTTTAATATATGTATGTGAATTATGTTGAGATTACTTCACATTAGATACTGTCATGAAACATTTAGTTGATCAAGACATTCTTAAGCTCATTTTGATGTTGCATGCTCAAGTGATTTTTAATCGATCATACTTATTTAAGGAAGTATTACAATCAATACCTAGTAATGTGTTCACTCTGCCTGGGTACCTCATCCTTTTACTTTCTAAAAAAGTAAGAAATTATTTCAATTATCTGTAGAATTTTTTCTGTGCTTTTAATTCTGCCAGAATACATGTGCAATGTCAACATCTATAGATAAGTTTTATTCAGTCCTGATACAATGTTTCAGATTTCATCCAATGCCGTATCTTGCGCCAAATGACTATAAATTTTTGATGATTATTTTTTTGTGTGTAAGTTTTCAGTATTAAATCCCACCTTGTTGTCAAGGATATGGAGATTTCAGTATTAATGTTTTGCAACTGCCAAATATTTGTTTATTATTTTAAATTTTGAATTCTTGAAGTTAACAATTTTACAATGTCGTATATACCTAGAATTATAGTCCCTGCTACCAGTTTGTTACTGGCTGACTGTTAAATATGTTATTTTCACAGGTGGATCTTTTCCCCTTGATCTGCATTGTTTTTTACATTTAAATGGAATATAGTATTGGAAATTAGAAGCCATGGCAAGTCCTGATATTAGTTGTATTCTGTAAATTGTAATTAGAACTTATAGAGTCTCTGATCTGCTAGGATGTTTTACTGATTTCAGATGGTGTCTATGTGATTTGCAAATAGTTTTAAAAATGTTATTCACATGTGTGTTTGATTTGTTTATAAATACTAATTTGATTTCAATCGTGAGTTTATGAGGTTACCTGTAAATAGAAATATTCTCTGGTACACACATTTTCAAGCCATCTGATCATGATCCTCCAACTCACAGGTCTTTATTCAGCATTATGAATTCAAAAACTCCAGACATTTAAAAAAGAAAATTAAAATTTTCTCTGATTCAAACATTTCCTTTTGATCATTAGAAATTTTCAAAAGAGTTTGTTGGCATTTTGATTTAAAATTTTGAATTAAATTGAGTTTTGAATTATTGAATGATCTGTTGATGATTTTAATGATGTACCATAGGTATTTTACCCATGTGTTGTGGCTATGTCCTGTATATGTGTGCTTGGTTGAATGTTTTGTGTAAATTATAAATATCTTACAACTGATCGGGCCAAGACAAGTATTAATTTCTGATAAATTAAAACACATAAATTGCAGTCCTATGTGCCTTCCAGGAAATAACTGTATTAAGAAATTACTAACCCATCATAGATAATGTTGATAAAAAATATGTTAATGATGAAAATGTCTGGTAACAGGTGTCAATGATTTTAGAAAAAGTCTGTCTTGCCTTACAATAACATTACTTCATTTTCATTATAACTGGAAATTGTAAAGAATGGATGAAAGGGGAAAGCTTCTCATATCCGTGTTTATCAGGATATATTTTGCCGAAAATCATATGAAAATGTTTGCCATTAATTTGTCAGAAACTGATATTTCGTCTGATAGAGCCCGATAACACATCAAAATCCGTGGTAGTCTTCCAGTGTTTGTTAATGTTATATATGTTGGTTTGTTATCTTGTTAGGTTAATATTGATGTGAGAACACAGAGGGTGTAGGTAATGTACTGATTGTGTTTCAGGTAGACAGAAAGCCATAGTTTCCTTATGTTAGAATTCATTTTCAGTTATAAAGTGTTATGCATGAAATTTTAGGCCTGCAAGAATTTTTTTCCAAATTTGAAAAATGTCTTTTATTCTTTAGGAAAAGTTATTGATACATTGACTTTTATTGATGGAAGAAATTACAGAATTTCATAGCTATCTGAAGAAAATTCTATTAAATTTTATTGAAAAATCATTGATGCTGATATGATTCATGTGAAGTGATTTGTCTATATTTGGGAAGGTTGGCCAGTATTTCACTTGTTTTTCATCCCTGGTTATAATCAATATTCAGGTGTCAGGAACACACATTCTTGAACTATTGATAACTTCTTATGTGCCAAAGTTTCTTGTTTCTGACTTATTTTAAGGTCACATTTCCCAATGATCGACCTTCATGGTGAATTCATTTGTGCCAAAATGAAAAAAAAAATTGTCTTGTTGTTTGTGGCTTATGTTATCAAATTGGTCTTAGTGATGTAGTGGAGGGATGATCTGACCTCTTGTCAGAATTGTCATGTGTTGTTCAAACCCTTATTTCTTAATTCAATTTTCTGGTTAGGTTTAAATATCAAAAGAACATTTAATGTTAAAAATAATTTACCTCAGTGAACTATTTCTTGTCATCTTGTGGAAATATAAGGGAGACTATCCACTTTTAAAAAGGAGAAAGCCATAAGTCGTAATTAAACCAAATCTAAACTGATTGTAACATGTGTATGTGTCGATGTTTGTGTGTCGTATTACTATCTTGTTGATAAATATATTTCTTGTCAAGGTTTCCTTGGACATCTAACCTAACAGTATTAAAGACAGATGTCTTCCATTGTGTAATCCATGTATATATTATGTAACTCATTCAACATTCTACCAATAATCAAATATATTCCATCTAGATGACATTCAACTTTCAGCCAATAACCAATTTATATATATCACATAGCCTTTGGTGTAAAATCATTTCACTTTTATCAAAATTAAAGATAAAATAACCATGTTATCAACATTAAACCATACAATAATGAAAAAGATCAATTTAAGTAAGCAGTGTTAAATTTTGTTTTCGTCCTAAACATTCGCTTACAGTGTTATTGACCCATTTCACCTTTAAAATTCTCAGATGATTAAGATATTTCAATTATTTTTTTTAACTAGTGCTACTGTAAAAGATAGTTACAAGGTGATCACGTTTTTTTTTTTAAGAAATTTTCTATTCATCAGTAAATTTCTTGCAAGATATATTGATGAATTTGATCACATTTCAGTATTAATAATGTGAAATTCATTAACATCAAGTTGGAAAGTTATGTCTGTTATATTTCATGAAAGTTAATTGTTATATAGACTTCATTATGATTATAGATAAGTGTGGAGCAGGATTTATGGATCATAGTATCCTAATATAGCCTGGTTTCTTTGATGCATGTCTTGTGTATATAGTAAATATTTATGTCTCTTTGTGCCAATTTCCATAAAGTTCTGCAATACTTCAATCAAAATCATCCCTAATTTAATTTCTCTCTGAATATTTATCTACCTGATATGTGAAAACTTAAAAAGTTCTTGCCTAAATACATGATCAGATATGTCTTCTGTTCAAGTTTTGGTTCATGTTAAGTGATATTGACGGGAAAAACCAGCATTCTTTTTCTATGGTTATTCTGTCTTTTTGTAATGTAGATTTCTGTGTTCTTGATTGTCTTGTCATTAGATTATATGAGGAAATTGTGTCATTTTGTCACAAAATTATGATTTTACTCTCACAAACAAATGATGTAATTATGACTACTTTCTCACTAGAGCAGATAATGAAAAGGTTATATTGTTGGTGTTGTCATTTATCTCAGTTCAGTGACATGACAGTTCCTTTTACATACATCATGTTAATAGGTTCTTCCAATTTACTCTAGGTGCCAAT